CAAGATACTATAATCCAACGATACACCTTAAACCTCCCCATCCCGAAATATCCAAGTTCATGGCCAACGAGTCAAATTCCCCACCGAAAGAAGCTACAAAGACCTCCTCGCTTGAGGTCGATAACGACGCCTAGAAGGTTGATTTGTACTTGCACACCATCTCGTAGTCGACGTTGGGCGAAGCTTGCTTACGACTCCGGCTTACGCATGATGAGCACGACTGAGCTCGCTTGGTGCAATCCGCCTCACGTGGCTTTCATCATCAAGGCGGTCATCGCTACCCAAGAACGACGAATCGGAGACCAGCGTCCTAGGCCTACGTAGCCTAGGCAGTCCGCGGATGAGGGGCGTCTGCAACAGAAGGCAAAGCCGTGCCTCCAACGTTTCCTGAAGCGTAGGTGGTACAGGCCCCGGCGACGCTGGCCAACCCGCGTCGTCGTCGCTCGAGGAGTCCCTCGGCACGCCCAGCATCTCCATTTCCCTGTGCGAAGTCAAGACCGGCTGGACATCTCTAGGATCGTCGACCACGAAGGTGGCCATGTCCTAGTTCTGAAGTGGAGCGACGGTTTTGGGGCGGAGCTTGGATTGCCACTTCAACCAACATTGGGTCCAGCGTCGAGTCGACTGCCGGTGGCACTTGCCTCGGCCGGCTCCACAGCACCAGGTCCGCCTCAACCTCGAGACCAACTACCTTGCATGACGAGCTAGGGCGACCGTCTGGCTGACGCTCGCGTGCAAAGTTGCCCCCGAGCCAGGCACAGACGCTGGCCGTACATCGAGGCAAGGTGCGCCCGAAACTCCGCCGACGAGACAGCTGGCCGATTCCCACCAACGAGCACGATAAGAACAAGGGAAAAGTCCGTTCCAGACGCGGCGAGCTCCGTGTTCTTTGGGACAACAAAGACCTCGATCTTGGGACAACTATCAGCGTCACCTAGAGGTGGTGATAGCGGCAGGCTGCTGCTGTGGTGCTGCTGCGGCGACGATGATGGCATGGTTGGCTACTGCACATGACGAGGCGATGACGGTGTCGGCGCCTGGCCTGGCGCGTCACAACCTCCCGGTGACAGGCTGGGTCGCCTTGGACCAGCGGGGCAACGTGCCTTGGCACCCCGGCGGGGGCGATGTGCCTAGGAGGATGAAGGCTTGCACGCCGGCGAAGGGCCTCGCTAGCACGCCCTGGCCTGATGGCCGGTACCCCGGCAGCGGAAGCAGCGGGACGGGGAACGACACTGAGCGGCGATTGTGGTCGTACGCGAGGCAGTTGAAGCAGAGACCCACGAGCTTCGGCGGGAAGGGGCGGTGGCGTTTGGGGGCCGTTCTCCCCGGGCAGCGCCGACGACGACGACTTTTAACAACCTGGAACCCATCGGCGTCGACGTTGGGCCCCTGTCGAGGCACATGCGCGGTCCGTGTACGCTTTCCGAGAAGTGTCAGGCACCGATGCCCCGCGCCACAGGCCGAGACGCTGGTGCACCGGAACCCTTGCCGCCGGCTGTGGACCAAGGCGACACTGCGCATTTAAGCTTGGTTTGGATTAGGTCAACAAAATTTATGCTTCAGAACAACTTTATATATAGAGAGAGATTTGGTTCATGATTTCAATTCTAGCGCTTGTGGATAATAAATTTGGGAACAATAATTATAACTTAAATCAACTCGGATAGTCAGACCGAAGAGATCAATGTGCGCTTTGTGGAGACTGGAGGAGACACGAGGCAAGCAAGAAACCGTCATTTCCCACCCAATCCCATTCCCATCGCTAGGATAATGTTCTCCTCGTATCCCATTCCCATTCCGATCATACAGCATGACCGTTTCTCAATATGCAAACATGGGTTTGGGTATAACGTTCTCCTCGTATCCCATTCCCACAACTCATTTCCCACCTTCCAAACCCCACCTGCTGTCTGGGTATAACTTTTGGCCAGATTTCGTGACACATAGGCATGCCAGCGTGTCTGTATGCGAAATGATGTTCTTGTCCTCGGGCCATCTTCTTCCTCGCGCCGCTCTCGTGGGCGGCCTGTTGCCCGACGCCCGTGCACGCGCCTCCCTGCGGCTAGAGCCACTAAGGCCGGCCTGAGATCCTCCTAGCGCCGCCGTGGCCTAAACTGTCTGGCCGTCTGGGGTACTTTATCTACACCGATCCTTCTTTCTCCGAGTTTCCGTTCCTCGGTTGCCAGTGAGCTTTGCTGCCACTGAAATCGTGGAAGAAGGTGGAGATCGGACGAGGTACGGCGGCGCAGATCGAGCAGGCGAGAGGTGGGGGCGAGCCGCTCACAGAGCCCGTGCTTGCGAGGGCGGGCGGAGATCTGGCGCGGCTCCGAATTGTCAGAATCGGCCTGACGTCACCTCGCCGGGGCAGGGGTAACCTCATCTCGTTTCTCTTCCGGATAAGGCTGCGGTGTGGGCGCTTCTCGGGGTGGTCGGGCGGCGCAACTTAGGGAGGGCAAGCGGCGTCGCCATTTTCGTGAGATTCCGACCTCGACGGAGCGTTGCTTTCCGCTCGTCTCCCTCCGGATCCTGCTGGTAGGAATGCCTTGCGTGTGTTGTCGAGCGGCTAGGCGGGGCGGGCTGCGGCAGGTGAGGCGGCGCGAGGAGGTCGCCGCCGGTGGTCGTCGGGTTGGTCGCCGGGGGTGCCTTGCCGATTTTGTTTTGTGAGAACCGGAGAAGGCACCAGCATAACGGGCCGGCTTGGACAAGGGGCCTGTTTGGATACGAACCTGGACGCAAGATGCCTGGCTAGGAGCTCGCCTGGAAACTGCCTGTGCAGTGTTTGGATGAAGCCCCGAGAGCTTGACTGACCGAGGCAGCCGTGCGCACGCCCAGGCGATGGAAAACGTCCGCCGGGCTCAGGCTGCGTAGTTTGCCTGGTCTAAACACATAAAATATCTTTATTGATATTAATGGTCACTTGATTAATTCCAAAGACCATGATTACAGCAGGTTCTTCCTCTCCCTTTTTCCATGTATAAACGCTAACATAGTATATAAGATACCATAAATTATTATATATTTGTACAGAAAAATATTATAGTGTAATTCGAAACTGAGCGCCTGACTCTGGCATGAGTGTTGTCTCGCCTAATCACCGTGATTAGCTAATGGAATAGGAGTCATGTAGCGACAAATTTTTACTGTCTAAACACAAAAATATTTTATTTGTCTTTACTTATCTCTTTCTACTATAACATATAGAGATCTATCATTAGAAAAAAAAATTTAAATTAATATTTTAACAAAGAATAGATAATTAACTTAAGTTATTTATTTAGTAAACACACAATAATAGCATTCATTAATCATATATAAACAATAAAAAAGTAAAATTTCACTCGCATAAGCATTCTCAGGCACAGGCATCAACCAAACAGACTTTCTCATATACAAACAATAAAAAAAGTAAAATTTCACTCGCATAAGCATTCTCAGACACAAGCATCCAACTAAACAGTCTTTCTCTGACCTTGCCTCACCAGGCAAAACTCATCAGCTTTACAGGCAATTTCCAGACAGCACTTTTTGCCAAGCAAGTCACACAAGTCTCCAACCAAACGGGCCCAAGCAGTGGCTGCGGCTTATGGCCCTGTTCACTTTGCTGAAAAACCATGGTTAAAAATATTGTTCACTGATTTGTTGTGAGAGAAAATATTGTTCATTCGTTAAAATAGTACGACTCGTAAGACAAACGAACATGACCTATAACTAGCAGCTACTGTACATAGAACTGCTAGCCGCAACCATAACGGCTGTAAGCAGAACCAAAAGCAGCTAAAATTACCCGAAGCTGGGCAATATTTTTACCAAAGAATAAATCAAATAGCCAGGTGGGGTTTGCCTAAAAAAGAGCAAGTCCTGGTAGCGAATCAAATAGCGGATAAAACCTCGGCCTGTCTAAATTTTGGCACTCAAGTTTTGGCCATCAATCAATCAGGCCTCGAATCAGAGCTTTAGATCCCATCCAATTCATGTGTGATCTAAGGTCAAGTTCTGTCATTACAACTGAATGCTTGGGTTGAACTGGAACCATTAAATTTTTGAATTCACTGTCCAATTCAGAAGATTTAGGGCGCTTTGGCTGCCGTCTAAGCACACCACGCATGAGCTTCGCTCGCGCAAAAACTGCGGCGTTAATTTTGGGCGTCGGACTTACGGTAGATGTTGGCATCAAAATGAGCGAGAAAAGGATGACAGGGCTGCGGCATGCCGAAGGTGCAGCTGCGATCCAAACGAGCGCAAAAAATGCGACGCAGACGGTGCAGCAAGCTTCGGATGCTATCCAAACGTGATCTTAATGGCGCCTTGGTAAATCAACAATTAAATGAACTACTATTAGATTCAGATTTTGTCAAGAGTTCATATAATTTTCTCAACAAGTTTTGTTTACTACTGTACTAGATTTCTCTTTAATGCTAACGCACCCTGCATCGATTTCACTGGTATAAACATTAACCCAGTGATGATAACGGAAAAAGCCTTTGCCCCTGCGACACCCCTCACGCAAAACACGATCCAGTGTCGTGCGCGCAAAGGATCGCGCTCCAAAAACAAAACAAACCCAACGAAGTCGCAGGCATATTTTACAGAAAACCCCTCACCTCTATCCAAAATACGCTCCACCATCACCAGGCACAGCCCTGGCCGCCCTACATAAACCCTGCTCTCTACTGGTCTCTCTCCTCCTGTTTCCCACACTGCAGTGGCCTGGCCGGCGTCCTCCTCCCCCCTGTCTCGCCCCTCTGTCCGCTCCACTTGAGAAGAACACAATTAGAAAAAAAAAGGCAAAAAACATTTACCTTTTTTCTATCTATATTATCTGAATAAATCAAGAAGAGGAAGAGGGAGGGAGAGGAGGGAGGGGGAGGAGTAAATCCAGACGCCATACCAGTCAGCTCGCGAGAAGGGGAAGGGGAGAGAGAGCTTCGCTGGTGTATTGATTGCTCGCTGCTCCAGTCCTGCATTCGTGTCGTTTTTGGCAAGTAGGTGGCGTGGCAAGCATGGTGCCGGGCTATGACTGCGCCGCCTCCGTGCTGCTGTGCGCGGAGGACAACGCTGCTGTTCTCGGCCTGGACGAGGAGGGGGAGGAGTCCTCTTGGGCGGCAGCCGCTACGCCGCCGCGCGACACCGTCGCCGCCGCCGCCGCCACCGGGGTCGCCATCGACGGGTTCCTGACGGAGCTCCCCTTGCTCTCGGATGACTGCGTTGCTTCGCTCGTGGAGAGGGAGGTGGAGCACATGCCCGCGGAGGGATACCCCCAGAAGCTTCAGCGACGGCATGGGGACCTGGATTTGGCCGCCGTCAGGAAGGACGCCGTCGATTGGATTTGGAAGGTGAGTTCACTTAATCGATCTATGGGATCCTTACTCTGCGATGTTAGTGAGATGTGACTCGCGGATTTGCTTAAAGGTCTCTTTTTTAGAGTTCATCGTGGTTCTTGACTTGATTGATGTTCATCGGTATCTCTTCCAACATAAATCAGCATCAAAGCTCACTGAATCCGCATCTTTTTTGCTGGATAGGTCATTGAGCATTACAATTTCGCACCGTTGACTGCAGTTTTATCTGTGAACTACCTCGATAGATTCCTCTCCACGTATGAGTTTCCTGTAAGTCTTGCAATTTTAGTATCACTGGAAACAGTCCTACTCAAATTACATAGTGCTGATGGGAGGAAGATCCAATTCCAAATCATGGCAGGAAGACAGAGCTTGGATGACTCAGCTCTTGGCAGTGGCATGCTTGTCTTTGGCTTCGAAAATGGAAGAGACTTTTGTGCCACTCCCCTTGGATTTGCAGGTGAGTCAGTGCAATGGATCTCATCACTTGCCTGCACATACATTGTGATGTTTTGTTTGTCTTTTCCAGCAAGTAATTTTCGACTTTGTGTGGCAGGTAGCCGAGACAAAGTTTGTTTTTGAGGGAAGGACCATAAGAAGGATGGAGCTTCATGTGCTAAGAACCTTAAAGTGGAGGATGCATGCTGTTACTGCTTGCTCATTTGTTGAACATTTTCTTCATAAGTTGAGTGATCATGGTGCACCCTCCTTGCTCGCACGCTCTCGCTCTTCCGATCTTGTCTTGAGCACTGCTAAAGGTACAAATATAGGATTCAGTCAGATATGATTCCTGACCTTATTGATTGGTATACAAAAAGAAAAATTCGTTTCAAAAAAATTGGTATACAAAAATTCTCAATTTGGCAGCAATCAATTCCTAAAGTCTGACAATTGGGTCTGCAGGTGCTGAATTTGTGGTATTCAGACCCTCAGAGATTGCTGCCAGTGTCGCTCTTGCTGCGATGGGGGAATGCAGAAGTTCTGTAATTGAGAGAGCTGCTAGTAGTTGCAAGTATTTGAACAAGGTAATAATTTCAGAGCTCAATGTTCCTACTAAACCATATGGCACTTATAATTGGATGGTAGCCTCTGAGCGCAAACTTGTTTATCCATGTTTTGCTTACCATTAAACCATTAAAGCTTGCTCAAATTGTTTCCAAACTAGTCTAAAACACCATTAATGTGTTTTAGGAGAGGGTTTTAAGATGCCATGAAATGATTCAAGAGAAGATTACTATGGGAAGCATTGTCTTAAAGTCTGCTGGATCATCAATTTCCTCTGTGCCACAAAGCCCCATTGGTGTACTGGATGCTGCTGCCTGTCTGAGTCAACAAAGCGATGATGCTACTGTTGGATCTCCTGCAGTATGTTACCATAGTTCTTCGACAAGCAAGAGGAGAAGGATTACTAGGCGCCTACTCTAATTGCGGTATGCTTCAGGTGTGCTCCTCACCGCTCTAGGAGTTTTTGATTGGTTCAATCATCTTAAATTTAGTTTGGCCGCCCTGAGGATTATGGTTTAGTCAAGTAGTTGCTCAATGGAACAACAAAACATGCGCACTACTTGGTTCATAAAGAAAAAAAAAATAACAAGCAGCGTCCTGTGAGCCAGTGCTGCAAGCCAGTTCATGCAATTGACATCCGTAAGGGGAATTCAAGACCCTAGAGTCCAGGGATGCTGGTGTAGGTAGAGAGGGAACAAGGAATTTACATACGCTGTAGAGATGAGAGCTCTCTCGTACCATTGTGTACTTTTGCTCCTTCAATTCGCAATGAACTTTAGGCAAGGATTGCCTTGGGCATTGAACATTTGTCGAATGAAAAGAATCCAAAGATGGATGCGGCAGAGGAATAGAACAATTTGATATATTTCATGAACTACAGATATATATTTTCTTTTCTTAATGATGAGCTATGATTTTGTTGATGATAATATGGTTTTTGGCATTCCATTTTGTTTGCATTGGGCCATTAGTTGATTATGTCCAATGTACCTTCATTGATTATCCTTGATTGCTACTCAGCCTGTCTTATCCATTCTATTTATCAATCTGGGTCGCAAGCATTCTTTAAAAGAAACGAGAATTTTAAATTGATCACATTTCAAGGTTGCAGCTGCTAGGTTAGTAAATTATGTGATCAAATTGGGGAGCATAATGGGATCCTGTCCCTTAATTATTTGCATCTGCTTGGGGATAGTATTTCATTAGATCATTGCTGGTGAACCCTAACAATGGTAGATTAGTAGTGCTGATAAACCTTAGAGCTGCTTGCAAAACCCCTAGAAGAATCCTCTTGCCGCAGAACATTGTAGTGTGCTTGGACTTTGCAGTATCTGATTATCAACTAGAGTTCCATCTGTAAACAAAACTGAGATCCACCTACTGTCTCTGCGGTCAAGCATATTTTGGCTAGAATTTCGATTGTTTTGTTTTTGCCATTTAACCTTTTTTTGTATCCATCGACTGCGTCTGCCACAGATGCATTCATGTGACCCTTATCACTATTGCGCCATTTACATAGAGTTTTGAAAAAACTTTACTAACTGGCCAATAACTGGAAACCCCCGAAGGGCCAATTGGGTTTCTGGAAACCTGGTCCTGGGTGGTCACTGTCGCGTAGCTATGATGTCAAGTACGATTGTTGCTTGAACTGGCAGTTGTTCTCTACCGGCAATGTAGCTGTATTATTACTTTCTACCATGTACCACCAGTGCATGGCTTGCCTGGACCTCAGTTTTTCATAGCACTAAACAACTGATATACACATCCGTATGACACTATCTGTGTACTCATGGGGGCTCAAGCCCTCCGTATTTTATGAATTTTTACAAAGTTTATCTGTGTTAAGATCGAAAGCAGCAGAGTGTTGTTCAGTCTAAAATATTTTCTGCCGCCACACTAGCGCACAAGATTCCTCTGCACGGCAGAATTGCATAACTTGCTGCAACCTGTTTCCTGTTTAAATAGAAATGGGAGCAAGAATTAGCCTGTGTGTGAGAATTGTAGCTCGTAACCAGAATTTTCTTGTACCTCGTAACCAATAGATAACTCGAACGCATACTTCTGCTTTACCAGGTAACTTTATGCTGTAGTGTAGACTGTAGTAAGTGTACACAGTCTGCTGATGCTGAATACCTATTGGTGCGCCAGCACTGACCACTGCGGGTCAATATGATCACAGTTTCTGCGACAGTCCCAGCCAAATGTCCGGACCAGCTTGCAGCTATTGCTATAGATCCAACAACACAGGGTCAATATGATCACAATACCTTTCTGCGATTGTCCCAGCCAAATGTCCGGACCAGCTTGCAGCTATTTCTAGAGATAAAACCAGCCAGCTGGCTGGCAACCAGCCAGCCGAACGCCGCCACACTGGCCCGGTCATGCCGACAAGCTCCTGTTTGACATTTGCTGGACAAAAGCAAATCCCATCCAAATTCAGACAAGCTCTGCACATGAGCTTTCAATTAGGGTTCTTCCTTCTTCACACCTCATAGAATAGGAGGTAACCTTACCTCATATACGGAGGAGGAGGTAAGAGGAGTAAATGAATCAGAGGCTTCGTTCGTTTTTTTTTCAAATAAAAAAATTAAATGGGGAAGGATAACTAGTAAAATGATTGTATATCAACCGGCTACTGCCAGTTGCTGTTTCCTCAATCAACCGCTTTTTCTGATGGGCTCCTTGTGGGAGCAAATGGGAAAGGCTCAGATCGGTCAGTATTATAGTTCCTTTCCTTCCGCTGCTTGCTTTCCCAAGAGCAAGTGGAAAGCTACAAATCTGGATCGCAGTTATATATGCTTTATTTAAAAAGTGCATGAAAGTTATGTTCCTGATTCCATTTTATTCTTTTTGTTATGTTGATTGATACGTAGTACGATCATTTCATATCTGAGAGAAATGTGCATTGCATTTTATCTATGCCAAATGTAGAGTACATTTCAAATGTTTATTGCAGATACAGAAGGTTTGTTCCAAATGTACTGTTTCCTTTTATATGGAAAAATTTCTAACCATAAACTCATAAAGGCAAGTGAAACACATACTTTAATCATGTCTGCAACGAGCCAAAAATACTTTCTCTGAATCCAGACCGGTCTCTGCCTCCGGGCACTAGCTGAGCCTGCAACTTGCAAGCCATGATCATTGGTCAATCGAAGGAGCGAGAAGGCACATTCCGAGCGATCTGCTTCTGCTCTGCCCTGCTCTGCTCCATGGCCTGACTGACTGGAGCGGAGTAGCTTATCATGATTCCGTTATCGACTCGAGCAATGGAAGATCATGATGAGCCCCCCTCATCCCCAGTTTCGTGGACCTCGCATCGCATTGCCGGCACTGGCAGGCAAGGCGAGCAGTCAGTAGTGGCGGTGCCTCCGTGGCTGGGCTGGACCTGGACCTCCTCATTAGGCGCTCCCATGCCTGGTTGCTACCACCTGCAGCGTGGCTGCATTCGCTTGTCGCCCTACCAAAGCCAAATCGAGCGCTGCACATTAGCTTGTCGCCCTGGATCTCGATCGATCGCGTCGCCCCCGCCTGGCCAGCAGCAGCTCGATCATGCTGCTCCCGCGCCTCGTGGTCACGCACCGCTTGGCCCTTGGCCCTAGTGCGCTTCTTTGACTCGCTAACAGCACCTTCAGAGATCGGCTCAGCGCTGAAACACCCGTCCTGACCTGCTGCCTCTGATAATGCTGATGGTGTTGTAAACGAGCATTTCTCTGCGTGGGCGCACGCACAGCTGCGGCCGCAGAGGCATGTGCGGGTACACTGTGCCATGGCAGTAATGTGTACGAGTTTACAACACCATCAGCGTCATCGCTTCATCAGATGACTACAGTAGTAAATAAGAGGAGTCGTGAGCTCAGTTCGGTGTGGACATTACGCTGTGGCGTCTCTGCTGTCCGTCCCGTTCCCCTACAGCGTGAATTGCGGGTCGCCGCGGACGGCTTGTCTAAAAAGTAAATTTGCTGCCCGCTGCCTGCTGGTGACCACAACCATACCACACCATTGGCATGGCAGGTCCAGGCTCCGGTCCGGTACACTCCGTACACACACATGAAGCCAACGGAATTCAATGGTGTGTTTGGACGGCGTACGCACGGGCACGGCCCCGGGCATCCCTCCTGGTGCAATACAGACCCTGCCATGCGTCACAAGCGGCGCCGCTGCCGGCGTGCCCGTGGCCCTCGGAGTCTTGTCAGGCTTCGCGGATTCAGCGGATCGGCTCCTGCTTGTTAGTCTCAACTTTGTTCCAGCTTATTCTCTCCCAGAACACTATTGAATCAGTCGAAATCAACCGAAATCAGATCCAAACTGGATCAGCCGAACACCCTGTAAATCTCTGCTGTTGTGCTGCGATGCATCTCGTATCAATCATGGGAAAAGACAGATCTGGAGCTGCTCGGAGCGAGGACGCCGGCGCAGCCACGGCCCCAGCCCACCGCGCACAGGCACAGCACCACCGTACCCACCTGAAAACCTCCGATGGAAAGCCCGCCCGTTTTCAACTGCGTGCCGTACGTGTCTGCGTGACGGGATAACGTGCACACGGCCACGCGCGAGCGCAATCGCCGCGGATCCGGAGATGCCGCGCGATCTGATCTGCCGTGCGCCCGTGCTGCTTCGTTCGAAATCTGGGTTTCGCGCTGCGGATTCGCGGGTTTCTGCGAGCGAAACGCCACGGCGACTGGTCTATGGCGGGAACCGGCCGGGAAGGTTGGATTAGGCGGGCGGGCAGGCACATTTGGAGCGAATCCCAGCAAGAATTTCTTTTTCATTCGTTCAGAAAAAATTCTTTTGTTTGGCCTATACAAAGGCGCACCAACAGTAGCGACAGCCATGTTTAAGTCACCTAGTGCCGTGGCATTAGTTCTTTTGTTTGGCCTTTAAACAACCTCATGTTCAATTTATATTCCAACAAAATCATGTATACAATACTTCGCACCTGGGGCTCTGTTCGCCTGACATTATAAGTCGGCTTATCAGCCATGGTACAATATTTTTCTCTCCGTATAAATCAGCACAAACGGCTTATAGACCAGCCGAACAGAGCTGGGTCCAGAGGGTTAATTCGCTTCTAGCTTCACCCACACCAAATTGTATAACATGGCTAATTCCCTATGAATGCATTCAAAAGACTACGATGATAGATATTGAAATTAATGAAGTTGACATGTGTTTCGTTATCGGCGGATATGTCAAACCACTAGAATAGTAATTAGTCAAAAATGCAATCACCCATGTTGATGAAGACTTACACCTAAGTGGATATGTTCTATTATGAGGGATCTAGAACTAGCTAAGCCACGCTCAGTTCAAGTCACAACCAGAATCTGCAACTTCTCCTATTCTCCTAGTGATGTGGGGCCTCTAGTGTTTTAGCATTCAACATTTAGTATAAACTTTTCCTACCAAATGCGTCCTAGTGAAGATTTTTATGTGCTATAATTAGTGGTAGTGTTTTTATTACTACTTAAAAACATTAAGAGAACTCTACAATTTTGGTAGTGAGTAGTCATGGAAAGAATATACC